AAGTCTACGAATGGTCAAATGACCAGATTGACTTGGTGTCATACACCATGGATCGTTTCGGAATGATTTTTTTTCAGTTAATTGCAAAGATTAGGACGGATGACATGACGTTGACAAGGTTAAAGAAATAAATAAAATTCAACAGACAGTTTGAGGGTGAACCTGTTGGCTGGGCTGACTTACATACATTTCCGACGGTGTCAAGTAACGCGGTACAGGAGAAGATGATGGCGTAAATGGAGATTGAAGCCGAGGCCAACGAACAGAGCTGGCACATGAGGATGGGCAGTCGTTTTCGAAGGATCCAGTTAATGTTGAAGAGCCGTTTAATCTTTTCCATGACAGTATATGCAAACGGCTGTCCGACGTGTGGCAGGAGACGAATGAAAGTAGTGAATGTGACCGAGTCGGAAAATGTCGATCTCGAGGCCAGGCAAATATGCTGCTTCTGCTGGTGGTGGTGCTGGTACTGCTAGTGACACTTGGAGTGTTGGTGGTGCTGGTGGCTTTTGCGCTGTTAGCGCTGCTTCGTGCAGGTAGGGGAGACGAAGTGGCAGCCACTGTGTGGAAACTGAGTCTGGTCTGTGTCGATTGGACAACAGGACTGTTGCGTAAGTACTGCAATCGAGGACCCAATTGGCTGGAAAGTGCTCCAGAAACTGGAGGGTACACAGGCGGTTACGAATGTCCGGCAAGAGGAGTCGAAAAAGAGATTGAGGTCTGTCAAAGATATTGAGAGAGCTAAGACCATCAAAATTCGTGAAATATCAGTAAAGTTGCACTCAAATCTCTTAGACTATATTCTATGATGAAAGAGGAATATATGAGATCAAAATGCATCACAAGGGAAAAGGCATATGATCCCAGAAATGTTAAGCAAAGTAATCAAATGAAATCAAGTATAATCTAATCAATTCTAATCTAATCTAACTTAATCTAATCTGAACTAATATATTCTAATCAAACCTAATCTAATCTAAGTAAATCAAATTTGAAATGACATTATATAATGGGATCAAAACTAATCTAATCTAATCTAATCAAAACCAATACAATCTAATATATTCTGATATATTCTAATCAAATCAATTAACAACTTATATGATCAAATATAATCAAATCTAACCTAATTTGTTCTGATTCAACTTGATCTAATCTAACTTAATCTTAAATAATCAAATTCAATCTAATTTACACAAATCCACTATTATCTAATCTAATCCAATCTGATCTAATCTAATATATTCTTGTTTAACGGAATACATTCAAATTCAATCAATTACAATCTAATCTAATATAAACTAAGCTAATCTATTCTGATCTAATAAAATCAAATCAATTACAATCTAATCATATCTAAGATTATTCGATCTAATCTAATTTAATTGAATTTGATCTACTGTAATCTGTCCAAATTTAATTCAATCTAATATAATCTAATCTACTATTATTTAATCTAAGTAAATATGATCTGATCTAAAGTTATCAAAAGTAATCTAATTTACTCTCATTTAATTTAATTTTTACTAAGATAATCTAATATATACCAATCACAACGAATCAAATTCAATCAAATTCAATTTGATTAAATCTAACGAGATCTAAAATAATATAATATAAACAAATCTAATTAAATCTAAAGAAATCTAATCCAATCTGATCTGATCTAATCTAACCTAATTTCATCCAATCTAATCTAATGTACACTAATTCAATCTAAGTCAATTTAATCTAATCTAAAGTAATCTAATTCAATCTAATTCAATCGAATATGATCTAATTTATTATAATATTATCTAATCTAATCTATTCTAATCCATCTAATCAATTAACATCTAAATTAATCTAACTCAATCTGATTTGATATAATCAAATCTAAACAATTCTAATATAATCTACTCTCATCTAATCTTTCATAAACTAACCTAATATAATCTGGTCCATTCTAATTAATGTAAATCAATCTATTTAAATATAATCTAATTTAATCTAATTTTATATAATTTAAACTAATACACTTTATTCAAATTCAATTGACTCTAATAGGATATAAACTAATCTATTTGACTTCAATTATCTATTCCACTCTAATCCACTCCGCTATAATTGAATCTTATCTAATCTAATCTAATCCAATCTGATCTAATGTAATATAAAATATAATCTACTTTAATCTAATCTGATTTAATCTGATTTAATCTAATTCAATATGATCTAATCTGATGTAATCTAATTATATCTAATTAAATCTGTTATAATCTAATCTATTCTATTATAATATAATACAATCTCATCCACTATAATATAAGCAAATATATTCTATTCTACTTCATTCTTATTTAATCTGATATAATCTAATGTGATCTATACTAATCTACTCTAATCTAATTTTATTCAAGCTTATTAAATTGAATCGAAACGAATTTAAACTAATCTATTCGAATTAATCGAATTAAATCTAATCTTATCTTTTTATATTATCTAATTTACTGTAAACTAATCCTATTA